CCGAGACGGCAACACCGCGTCGCCCAGTCCGGTCTTCTCACAAACAAAGATCACGAATTATTTTTCCAAAGATAAAGCGTCAAAACCCAGCTCTGAGGAACTCCCGGAGGGATGACAGCTACTAGCACATAGCGAGAGGTGAGTAGGCAGAACCCACTGGCATTTTAGACCCCCGGGAAGGCAGAGAAGAGGAGGTTTAGGCGTCAGGAGGAGGAGGAGAGGCCCCGAGAGGACCCCTTTTCTATCCTATCTTTCCTATCCCCCTTTTCTCGACCTTTTTTTCTCTCGTTTTTCTCCCTTTTCGAGGCCTGGCGTTGGGGATAGGAGTAGATATGATGATGGTCTCACTCTAGATCGTGGTTTGGGTCGTGTGCATGTTGGAGAAAAGTCGCCTTTGTGCATTTTTACAGAGAGCAACAGGCTGGAAGTCGGGATGAGGTCGAACGCCAAAGTAAACTCAGGCCTGAAAAATCCTGGGTTGCAGTAGACGTTATCCAAGTGCATTTCAGGTTTTCGCCATTTATCTGTAGTCGTCATGTGTCTGGTGAGGCTATATGCTGTGACTTCATTCGTTCAGAAAAGCGGTGAATTCATGAAGGTTGTTTGTTAATAATCTCTGACATCTCTTCTGTTTTGATGGAGTTCACCTCTTTTCAGCTTAGTTCTTGGGTGAATTTATCTCTTTTGAGCCTCTAATTCCCTTTCTTTTGTTGTTTGATCCAATAACCTACCATAAGTATACAGGAAATCTGTTTATGTGTTATTATTTAAAGACTAGATATTTGTAATGACCTGTGGTAACATGTCAAAAGTTTCCATCATTTTCTTTATTGCTATAGAGTGAAACAGCCATGAATTAAAATATATGGATTTAACAAAAAATTATTTATCAGAATTGGACAGTATATAAGTGGAGAGAGACTAATGTAGTGGACATAAAAAAAACAAACATAAAAAGAGACTTACTAAGGTAATAAATGTAATCCAGGAGAGTTAAGATTAGCCCAGCTTTGCTTATTATATCTGCAGGTATGTGCATCAGGTTATGCCGTGGCTTTAACACTTCGTATTCGAGCTGTTGTCAACATATGTCTGTCACTTAATCTGGGAAGATCGTGCTTTTAGGATAGGTGTGGAAGCCATGGTAGTTCTTGATGTTATACCGTTCTGTATGATTACTATAGATATTATTACTGAGAGGCAGAATTAAAATTATGATATTATGGTATTATACTGTATTCATTTAAGGTTCAGGGTTTCATAGTTGGAAAATATACACTACTACTTGTTGTAAAGGAATTCAAGATAAATAGAGGAAGCTTATACTATATGTTGATTATTTGATTATTGAAGACCAGTCTCGTTGATTGACATAGAAGGAACAATATGAAATCTACTTTATTCTGGTATCATTAAACTGAAATCTATTTTGTCATAGAGAAGTTAGAATAAAATCTTGATGGAATATACTATTGGCCATATTTGAAAGGTCTACAGTATCAGTTCTCTTTTCACAAAAATTCTGCCATTTTATAAGAGATCTTGCAGTCTTTTTACATATCATTATAATATAAGGCATGTTGTTAGTCTTTTTGTAGTTCATTAGGTCCACTGTTTATGAGTTGAAAGTCCAGGTAATTCTTTACAGTACAGACACCCTTGCCAGAGACTATGTCCCCAACTCCACTTCACCAAATTTATTCAACAGTCTAAGTTGCTGTGACTGGGCACTGCCTGAGGGGAGGGTTGATGGGGGGGCTCTGCCTCCCAGCATCCCTAGACAAACATTGTCTTCACCCTAGTAAGCCAAGATAGAGCTGAAACATCTAGAGTTCTGAGTGAACGTGGGCTGTGAGCGGCAGTGTCTGTGATCTCTTTCCTTAATTTATGATGTTAACATTCATGTCTGAAGATTATTTCTTATACCGATGACTGCAACTTTTATTATTCTACAAGAATACCATCTTCAGTTTGTCCTAGCTTAGTGCATCCATACCATAAACATTAACCAAAGTCTGCATTTGTCCATGTCTGTATGGAGGGATATTGATAAGTATAGACTAGTGTAGAGATAACCATTTAACAAGGGATTATTATTTTTGTGTAGTGTGTGAAATATTCTCAGATAGCAAAGTAGGGGTAGAAATTGGGTGTGGCATATTTAATGTATTGTAAATGAGATTGCAAGGCTTATCCTTCTAATTCTTGAATATATTTCCTTGTCATTCATGCAGTACAGAACCACATACCAAACCTTAGGATAAGTGTCTGTCTTGGAATCAAAAATGTTCAAGCTTTGTTTGTAGTAGGATTAGAATGATATTAGATATTTAGGAACAATATCAACGATTCCAAAGGTTACTAAATAGTAGCTCTATTTTTGTAATCAGAGAACATCTGAAGAGAACATTGCATGATATTTATACTGTCAGTATGGGTCCTCTAGGATTTTCTTAGCCAGTAGATGTTGAAAGTGTGTTGTCCATTGTCGACTTGTATTAATTTATTTTACACATAGATGGCTCCTGAAGCTCTCTTGTTTACCCAATTTCTTTAAATTTAATCAAAAGGTTTTTCTGTTATTATTATTGTTAATGATCGTGATGAATCAGCAGAAGTTTACATGTTTGGAGCTTGTAGTATAAAGGTATATGTGTAGAATTCATGTTGAACAAATTGCAAGTAGAACAATGAAGGGAAATACAGGAAAACACACAGATATGCCAAAGGCCTTTTTGCATTTACTGCTTCATCATGCCCTGGTGAAACAGTAAATGCGAAAAGGCCTTCGGCATATTCGTGTTTTCCTGTACCTCCCTTTGTTGTTCTGCTTGCAGGGGTATATATAATAATAATGGTAGTGACAATGATAATTAAATATGGTGATGATCATGATGATGACATACACATGACAGTACTGGTAGGGATAATATGTAATGAGAAGGCCGCAATCATAGCCTGTAAATTCAAAGTCAAGCAGTACCATTTGCCCTTTGGCAAGGGCAGATAAACTTCCATCCTCATGTTTTGGCAAGATAGGTCTTGTGGGATTCCATGGTAGTCCATTGTCAAATTCAGAACTAGTTTCACCTGTTTTGTTAAAGATAGGCTTTGTTATGGAGATTTGTTAGGCTTTGCTGGAACTCAAACTGTGGAAGCTATTGTGCCACGTGATAGTTTTTGGTGGACAGTTAGCAAAATAGCTAGTGATAAGTTTTACATCACTTAAGCAAAACTCTTAGTTTTTTTTCATTGGTGGTTTAACCATAAAAAAAATTGTAATCAGGAATATTAGTAGCTGTAGTCTGGGTGCTTTCTCTCTGGTTTACAACCTGAAAACCTAACTCTTTGTAAATTTAGAGTCTTACATTGCAGTGTAAATAATGAATAGGAAATCAATTTTCCACAGTTTCCACGTACATTGAGAAACATAAAGATTCCATCATTTTATATATATATATATTTTTTTTTTTCTCCCAGATTGTTTTTCTCTTCTAATATTCTGATAGATTATAGCATCTGATACTTTACTATATTGAGGTGTATCAAGGCTCTCTGTTGTTGCACCACTAATTTTCAAGTTTGAAATCAGGCACTGCTCATGTTGAGTGCTTAGTGTGGCGAAGAAATATATGTGTGTATAGGTATCCAAAGATGTATGTGTCTCGTCTTAATTATTTTATCATTTCCATCTACATATGGCACAAATGCTGCCAATCCAGCATCAAACATTCCTTTTACAAATGCCAATATTCATGGTATGATAATGGCCACCACCAATAAAGGTATATTTACTTATAGAAAATTCCCTTGTAAGGAATCACATTACTGAAATTATCCTTTAGGTTCAACGGATCTCCACCTACATGCATAAACCTTATATTTCTACCCATCCATTCATGCTAGATTACTTAAACATTTTGATATGTAGTAATTTGTGTATTAATGAATGTATACAAATTGGTAATACAGCAGTATACATCCACGGTCACTGCAATGACTGTCATGTATTTCTAATTTATAGAAATTCCCTGACACAGCAGGAACATGTGTTATGTAGGTTTTGATATCTTCTGACAGATTGTTTATTTATAGATAATAGATAAAGTTTCTAAGAGAAGCAAATAGGCATAGTAATACATATATGCAACTCAGTATGTATGTGTGTATATGTATGTATGTATATATATATATATATATATATATATATATATATATATATATATATATATATATATATATATATATATATATATATATGTATATATATATATATATGTATATATATGTATATATATGTATATATATGTGTGTGTGTGTATATATATCTATATCTATATATATATATATATATATATATATATATATATATATATATATATATATATATATATATATATATATATATATATATATATATATATATATATATATATATATATTGGAAATTATATAAATACAAAAAATGGGAGTAATACTACTTGTGCTAATGATAATATTGGCAACAATGTTAATGTGATTGGTGTAATAATTATAAAGATAATGATAATTGGAATATTTAATAATATATAAAGTTTTTAGTAATGTCAGTAATGTGATTGATAATGTAAAGAGCAGTTTAACAGCTTTGATGCAAGGAAAGGAAGGAGTACATATAATTGGAATAAAAAGTAATAAACACTAATATAGCAATCATTAATTTATTAATAATATTACGTAAATTAATAGAATTATATATATTTGGAACCTGTACAATAAGGGAATAGATTTAGTAATTATAATAATAATATTGGCAACCATAATGATGATGATAATGATAATAATAATAATTATAGTAATTATTATTATTATTATTATTATTATTATTATTATTATTATTATTATTATTATTATTATTATTATTATTACTATTACTATTACTATTACTATTACTATTACTATTATTATTATTATTATTATTATTATTATTATTATTATTATTATTATTATTATTATTATTA